AAGACCCGGCCTGGGGAGGAAGGGCCCCGGGCCTCACGTCCACGCTCTCCACCCTCAGATGTGGGCCTGTGCCCTGGGACACCTGGAAGCCGCCGTGCTCCTCTTCCGCTGGAACAGACAGGCGCTGAGCATTCCCGACTCACTGGGCCGGCTGCCCTTGTCCGTGGCACAGTCCCGGGGCCACGTGCGCCTCGCCCGCTGCCTGGAAGAGCTGCAGAGACAGGAAGCTTCGCTGGAGCCCCCACTTGCCCTGTCGCCCCCCTCCTCCAGCCCAGACACTGGTGAGGGTCGCCCCCGATCTAAGAGGCTGTGGGTGGCAGAGCGAGAGGAGGAGCAGGGAAGAGGAGAGGGGGGTGGGAAGAACAATCTGGGGGGGGTCATGGAGCTCCTGCTGCCCTTGCCTCTCCCCTGTCCTTGCAGGGCTGAGCGGGGTCTCGTCGCCCTCAGAGCTGTCGGATGGCACATTCTCTGTCACATCAGCTTATTCGAGCGCCCCGGACGGTAGTCCTCCCCCCGCTCCTCTGCCGGCCTCAGAGATTCCGATGGAAGAGACTGTCCCAGGCCAACTCTCCGCTGGGGCCCCTGAGGCCCCCCTATTCCTCATGGACTGTGAAACCACCAACTCCCAAAGGCCAGCACCCTCATCGCCTCCTCTCCCACCAACCACCGAAGGGGGGACTGCTCCTGAGGAAGCAGACGGCCCACTGGCCGTGGACGTGATCCCGGTATACTGCTCGTGCTCGTGCTCACTGACAGTAAAGGCTAGAAATGGCATGGGGTGGGGGGTGGGGGGGGGCGGCAAGACTGAGCAGACGCTGATCATCCCATGAAGCAGAACCTGAGTCTGGCTTCAGTTTGGGAGGAAAGGGCCGTTTACCTTTATTTTGGGACAGGCAAGGCAACCCTCTGCTTAACTCCCGTCAGACCTTGTGACTCAGAAGTCATGAGGTGTCAGAGATCAAAAATTCTAGAGAACAGCCTCAGCTGGAGCTGGGCTGAGAGGTTACCTGCTGGTCCGTGCAGAGATGAGGTTTTGGGGGAAGCAGCCTGACGGAGGGAAGCAGGTGCTGTGTGGAGCAGAGGCTGACAAGCTGGCGGGTCTGGCAGAGATCTGGGGTGGGGACGAGGCTTGCACAGGACAAAAGTGAAGCAACTCTTGAGACGGGAGTGAACAGAGGAATGAATCTTCGAACCTAGCAGCGCACTTCTCTGCTAAGACCTGGGCAGGTACCCATCTTGGAGAGGCCAATGGACTAACTGGGTACCTAGTACTAGAAGCACAAAATGCTTAAAGTTGGCAATGCGCCGGCTTCACAGCTAGAGCCATCTGGCAGGGTGTCCGATAGGTGGCAGGCACCGAGCTCAGGGGGCTGGGGGCTGCAGGCACGGCCGAGCCTGTGGGGAGCACACGTTGGTCAGCTGGCATGAGGCAGGGGGGCCAGCGGGCAGTTGGCCTGGAAGGGCAGGTCCTTCATTTGTTCCACTCCTGCAACCCTGTTCGGAGGAGGTCCATCCCGTCCCGTTTTCCACGCCGTCTCAACACAGGGCCATAAACTCAAGTGGGAGCCTGGCAGGCATATGTAAATAGTGGCCGAGAAAGACTGGGGAGCAGGGACAGCCATCCCCGAGGCCTGTCTGGTGGTGAGGGGAATGACAAGACAGCAAGTGGACGATGGTGACGGCCTTGGCGGGGTAGGAATGTCTGGCGGCTCGGACTGCTCCCGACTCACCGAGCCTCTCCTCTGTGCAGGTGGACATGATCTCACTGGCCAAGCAGATCATTGAAGCCACACCAGAGCGGATTAAACGAGAGGACTTCACGGGGCTGCCCGAGGCTGGAGCACCAATGAGGGAGCGGACAGGGGCCCTGGGGCTCAGCGAGACCATGTCCTGGCTGGCCAGCTACCTGGAGAACGTGGACCATTTCCCCAGCTCAGCCCCGCCCAGGTGACCAGCTCAGGAGAGCATGTCCAGATTCGTCAGGGCAAGCAGGGAGCGGGGAGGTCCTTCCCTGGAGCCAGTGCTCCGTTCTGGCCCGGGGCCCCAGCCCCCGAGGAAGAGACTGGTACCGGCTGAGGGGCTCTCAAGTCCCCCTCCGGGCTCTGTGGCTGGACACGCTTCACGGTGGGCCCCAGGACACCCCCTCTCCCTGTCCCTGCAGCGAACTGCCCTTCGAGCGTGGTCGCCTGGCCGTCCCTCCCGCCCCTTCCTGGGCAGAGTTTCTGTCCGCTTCTGCCAGCGGCAAGATGGAGAGCGACTTCGCCCTGCTAACGCTGTCGGATCACGAGCAGCGGGAGCTGTACGAGGCGGCTCGAGTCATCCAGACGGCCTTCCGGAAGTACAAGGTCAGAGGCCGGGGGTCCCGCGAGATGAATCACAGCAGCCCGAGGTCAGGGGACGCGGTGGGCTCCAGGCTGGAAGTCTGAGGCTTGGTTCTCGCAGGGCCGGAGGCTGAAGGAGCAGCAGGAGGTGGCGGCTGCAGTGATCCAGCGCTGCTACCGGAAGTACAAGCAGGTGAGCCCTTTCTCCCCTGAAAGCACGCCCCACCCCTGAGCGCCCAGAGCGCTGCGGGAGCCCTAACCCCCTTCTCTCTCCACAAGCTGACCTGGATCGCGCTCAAGGTATTAGGCATGAGGTCTGGGTGTGTGCTTGTCCCTGACGAGCCGGCCTCTCCACCAGCGTGTGGATTAGAGACCGGCACCCTGCCGAACTTGGGGGCGAACCTCAGGGTGCTGGGGCTCTGTCCCTCCATTTCACCCCCTGTCCCCGCTCCCCGTCCCTGCAGTTTGCGCTGTACAAGAAGATGACCCAGGCGGCCATCCTGATCCAGAGCAAGTTCCGGAGCTACTATGAGCAGAAGCGGTTTCAGCAGAGCCGCCGGGCGGCCGTGCTCATCCAGCAGCACTACCGCTCCTACCGCCGCCGGCCCGCAGGCAGCCTGCCCGCCCGCACCAGGTACGGCCCGCGGACCCCCTCCCCGCCTTCCCCTGCCTCCCCTGCCAGGGTCCAGGGGC